CTTGAGTTGTCGTCAGCCTCGAGGCCTGGTTCTCGGCTTCAGCAAAGCCTTCAACGACTTCGAAATCGAAAACTGAAGGGCGAGGCTTCAGGCACGCTTTGAGGAGGAGACTTAATACTTAAGGCTTAAGGGGATCTCCCATGGAGGGAGGTGTTCGGGAACCAGCCCCACTGCCCCACGCAACAGAAATGAACCAAATGTCAACTCAAGTGATGCGGACTTGAAGCAGAAGTGATGCAGACATGACAACGCACCCGTCTCGCACAAGTTAAGGAATCGAATTGTGAAACGGAAACGACACGGGAAACGAAGCACACATTTACAATGGAAAGGAAAGCACTCGAAGCGCAGCACTTTAGACCCATCCGGTTGTTCAACCCAGACCTTTCGCAAGCCATGTAAATAGAACACGAGGGAAGACGGATTCCAGGGGTGAATGCCTGATATGAGTCTTCAACGTGCAGAACACGGCCTTGAGCAAGAGCAATCTCAAATCAAGGACCCAATTCCAGTGGCACACTGTGGCACATAGGTCCTCAAAAACTTCAGACTGAGCCTTGTTTTGCGTCGAAACATGTCGCAAGGCACGTCGCAGATTCTCAGGGTTCTGAGGACACGAGGGCGGCGTGTGGTGTGGTCACGCTCTGCCAGGGATCACAGCTTTGCATGCAAGCCCCAGCTGGCGTTTTGACAAAGCCTGTAGGTTCGCCATGTCTTTGTGCAACCACTGGAACCTGATATTCTTGCAATCCTTTTTAGCTCACGGGGTGCTGGCATCCTCAGGTAGCCACCGTGACATGGCGTCACACACTCACGGAGTACAGCGAGTCCCTGTTGGATCTTCAGGATTTCTGTGTCGATATCAGGTAGCCTTTTCATCACACGGTTCTGGTACTTATACGCACTCCGGAACTCGCTGGGTGGCCGCATCCGACTACATCTGTCACCAGCTTCGACCGCTAAAATCTGAACTGCGTCAAGCGGGCAGCACATGCAGAAGTGTTGCCAACCCTTTGGAAAGCTTGAAGATGTACCAGTGCAGCTTCTGATGTGCTCCCTCATCCATTCTTCGATGCGCTAATTTCCGCAGCCAACTTCTGGAGCATTAGCTGAAGATTGAAGCATCAGGCCAGTAGAACTGCCTGTATCGCCTGAGACGCGGGACAAACATACCTGCCTTCCTAGTCATCTCCGTCATCTATGCAGCTTAGACGCCGAAAGACGTTAGCCTTTTTCTACTTTGCTACTCTTGTAGAGAATCTTATGGAGAGCCACCAGGCAGCTTCCGCTGCTGCAGCTGCTGTGTGCAGCTGTGTGCCACTGGGTGCCCACACTTGCGGTTCTTCTCTGCCGCCGTGCGGGGAACTGCGGCCAAAGAGAAAGTGCGGGAGTGAGTGCCCTCGTGTGCTGCACACTCTACTATAGCTCTAGACGCCATAGCATCTCCTTAACGCGTGCGGCTCTGCCGAAGTGTCAAAGGTTTTTCTGAAAGGGCACAGCCTTTGTTGGACCTTAAACGCAACTTATCCCCTGCCTTGGGCGCGTGAGCAGCCCAGCTCTCTGCAACGCGACTCTACCATCCGAGACCTCCGTGGTTCACCACATGGTCAGAACATGCCCTGTGTTGGTGTTTTGGTGCTCAGCATCACCCCTTGGGACCACGCGTCACTGAAGCAGCTGCAGCAGCGGCAGCCACAGCCTAGCGCGTGCGCATGCGTGTGCGCGTGCGAGTGCGAGTGCGAGTGCGAGTGCGTGTGCGTGGGTGTGGGTGTGGGTGTGGGTGTGGGTGTGGGTGTGGGTGCAGGTGTGGGTGTGGGTGTGGGTGTGGGTGTGGGTGTGGGTGTGGGTGTGGGTGTGGGTGTGGGTGTGGGTGTGGGTGTGGGTGTGGGTGTGGGTGTGGGGCTGGGTGGGTGGGTGGGTGTGTGTGTGTGTGCTAGTCACCAGCTAGCCACAGCCCTTCCCAGGACATATCGTGTCCGTTTGCCCCGCAGAATGTCTCGTGCCATGTTGAAAAGCATGGCAGGGCCGATAGAAACGACTTTAGCATGTTTTTCATTGCATCCCGTCAGGCACATGTTGGACGCAAAACCTGCTCAAAACTCCAGGTTTCTGCTCTGCGTTTTTCAATGCCTGCTCGTCATGCACATGTTGTACTCAGATTACGCGAAAACTCGATTTCGTTGCTCAAAAGCGCGAAAAACGCGATGTTTCTGCGGTCAATTTTGTTTTTGGACTTCCTCAATTACATGCATCTTGGCTTCCGGAGTCACCCCGGCAGCAGGAAGTCCGTCGCAACGAACTCTGGCCATTCGCACGCACAGGTAACGTGGGCGTTCTCATCTTGCGGGCGTGCACTGGCCGTTTGCGCGCACTGGTAACATGGACGTTAGGCGGGGCAAACGGGCACGATCGAGTCCCAGGCAGTCCGATAGTAGGCATCCCTTGAAGCTGATGCCAGTTTGCATGTTCCTGGTGTATCTGTGGAGCATGCGAAGGGCACTGCAAAACGCATATCTGATGGCACCGGATCCCTCGGAATACCTCGGATAGCTGATTCAAGCTGCAAGCAGGACGCACGCTCACGCACGCACGCGCACACACCACGCACCTTTGCACCCTGGCACTCTCGCAGACGCACCCGACCCCCGGTCCCTCCACACATGCGCACACACTCACAGAGACACGCAGACAGGCAGACAGACAGATAGAGAGACAGAGACACACCAGACACACAGCACATCACACGCATGCGCACGCTTTGCACAAGTTCGCATGATGTGGCAATGAGTCCTTGGCCACCTTCCCCTCAAGTGCATGACTAGTGCATCCCAACTGAATTGACGACGCGGAAGGCAAAGATGCGGAAAGCCGAAATTCTGGATTCGGCCTTCAGTACAGCCTCCGCGGTGGGCGCCGCCGAATCAGGGCTTTCCTTGAACTTGTTGCCACCTGTGCAGACAATGGCTTATCAACGGCCTTTTTCATCAAACATGTCAGCAAGGTGGCGGGGCCCCGGCGCCAAAGCGGCGGGCCACCATGTTCGTGGGCCGTCTCGGCAGCCTTCACGAGAGGGACGTGGCACCTGAGAACCTCTCTGTTTCGCCCGGTGTCGTGTGCCTCGGCGGTCTCTTCCATCTCGTCCCCGCCCTCGTTTTCCTGGTCGTCATGCTCCTCGTAACAGGGTGTAACGACTTGTGGAGGTGAGCCTTGACACTCTTCAGCACTCTTTGTCACACTTTGGATGCCTCGTGGTCGTGCTCTTCATGATCATGTGCCTGCACATACCACAAGTCTCCAGGTCACCAAACAAAGACAGAGAGGTTGAAGGGGTGTGAACTTCAGAGTCGGGTCAGTGCAATTGAGTGGAGAGTCCTCATCGTGCTCACCATGCTCTTCATGCTCTCCATGATCGTGCTCGTGCTCAGCGTGCTGGTCATGTGCCTTGCAGCTTCTGGGTCGTCGAATGGAAATGCAACGAATTGCAGAGCGTAGGACCCAATAACCTCCAGGGCCCCCGCGTGGCCATGATGGCCTCAGGTCGAGATGCACTTTGCTGCATTATCCTCATAAAGCACACCTCGGACATTACCAGAACAACTCGGGCACAGCCGTGGTCCTCCAGGTGTTCCTCGCTTGCTTCTCTCAAGAGCTCAGCTCATTCTGATGCGCGCAGCTGCTTTCATGAGGGCCGAGTTTGTTCAAAGACCTCTGAGGTGCCCGGCGGCGTCGACTCCCTGAGAGAAGGCGCAGGCTCAACAACAAAAATGCGGAGGGTGCCCTTAAGGTGCTCTTTCTGCTCTTCTGAACTTCTGAACTTCTCCGCGCCTCGCCACCCGCATGTGCGAAGTGAGAGACCTCAGAGAAAGATTTCGGGATACCTTTACCTGCACCTTTGTGACTCGGGAAAACCCTGGCCATGCGGCAAGCCCTGGCAAGCCCTGGCAAGCCCTGGCAAGCCCTGGCGCTGAGGCTCTCTGCTGCCGCCGTGGCTGTGATAACAGCCGTCTGGCACACGACATGATGCAGATTGATGCAGCCACATGCAGCCGCATCATGCAGCACTCCATGCCACGCTGTAGGCAGAAGAAAACTTGAAAGTTGCGGGCCTTTACGGCTGCAGCGCCCTTCCAAGCCCCGAGCCTCAGGGTTTGAGAGCAAAAAGTCTAGCAATGTTCAAAGTGCAGGAGGCGGACCGACGTCGGGATCCAGACACAGGGGCGAAGAAGGCCGTAGTTACCATTTCTTTGGTCCCAGGGCTATGAGCAGAGGATGCCTGGCAGGCACTGGATGCTGCAGCGGACAGCGCGCAAACTGCGAAAAAAAAAGAAACTGTGGCCGGGAGGGCTCCTCGAGCATCCAAAACCCTTACAAGCCGCACTCGGCAGCGTTCGCGGCGTCCCGCCACTCCGGGCACCTTTTGGGCCACCAAACACCGCCAAGCTTCAACTCTTTGATACTCTTTGCATGGGCAAAGTCTTCCCCGTTAGGAGGGCGCAGAGGCGGCATGCGCACTCAGCCGCAGGGAAACCCGAAATGTGAGCCAAGGCAAAGGGCGTCGAGGGGCGTCAAGTTCAGCGCCGCACTGATGCGTACGTTCCGTGATCCAAGCACACATCGCGGAAGTACGCCCCGAGCACCCCAAAGCATGATTGGCGACGGCCACGTCCATTTTTCACCGCGTGTCTCAATGAGCAAGCCAATCAGCTAAGCCTATCGGGCGAGGGATACGAGCACAACGACAAGATCTTCAGCGATGCTCAAGATGCTTACTGCTAAGCATGCTTCAGTCTTCTCAGCAAATCAACGCTGGACAGTGAGCTGCTGTGCTGCTCTGCTCTGTGAGGTGATCGAGAGTTGCTATGAAGGCAGCTGCAAGGACACCATGCGCTCGTCCGACCTGAGGTTGTCGCACATGATCCGAAGTGAGTCACTGTAGAGGGCAAAGGAAAACCCCTAAGGGCCGAAGCCCGGAATCCAGGCCCTCCAAGTCGATGCTGATGTCAAGCCCCTGTGCTCTTGCGACCGCGACACATCACCGAAACACGATCAGAGGACTCTCAGAGGACTGAAAACAGAGCTCTCAATGTCCAATGTCCCTCAAATGGACCCCCCCCTCGCAGGCCTCTTCTACGGCAAGGCCCTGCAGGCGCTGCGCGAGGAGCTCCGCACCCCCTTGCTCCTCCAGAGGGAAGCACGGAAGGTAGTGAATGCATCCATACTGTAGCAACCTGCAACCAACACTGCTATACTACACTGTTAAGCCAGACAGATGAGCAACCCTTATAAAGACAAGTCGTGAGGGCGGCGAAACATGGGCTGAGCCATTTCGAGCCATTGGGAAGGAAAAATCTGCAAGCCTCCACCCTCGACGAAACGGTTCATCAAGCAAAACAAGCAGAAGCAACCGATGGCTCACCTTAAGCTGCGAAAAGAACCGTGTTTTCGAGGGCTGCGTCTGCGGTTCGTCCTTCCCACTGTCCTCTAGTGGCCTCCTTTGGCCTCCTTTGGCCTGTTTTGGCCCCATGTCTTTGCTTTATGCTGCTATGCCACGGCAATATTGCACAATGGTGCCCGAGAACGTTTTGTATGAAGCGTTTACTTCCAGCAGGTTTCGCGTGCAACAGCTCAGCAACCGTCAAAGCATGAGAATCTCTGCGGGGCTCACTGTTCTTCTCTCAACCGTTCTCCCGGGCAAAGTGAAAACAAAGGAGAAACGGCGAAACTCTCTCTTCTGCTTCTTCCAGACCCGCCCGCTCGCCCGGGGCCGTACCCTTCCAAAGTGTGGACACTTGTGTGACCCAAGCGTCGCGCGCCCGAAGTTCACTCTGCGAGAGCTCCCGAAATCGCTTTTCTTTCTTTCGTCAAGGCTTGAGGGCCAGAGCCCTCGCGCATGTCGCACGCCCTGCTTCCCCGTCTGTCCGAGGCGATTGCCATTAGAATCATTCGAAGCTGGGGCGGATTGCCGAAAACACCAAATCCGGTGAAGCTCCCCTGTCCTCCCCTTTCAGCAGAGGACCTCCCCTTCCTTCCCTCTGGCGAACGCAACCCCCCGAAAAGAGCCGCCCCCAAGGGCGCGATCCACCGAGTTTGTTGGTGTGAAACACATGCCCGGACACGGTGCCAACTTCTCCCAGAACCAAAATCACTCTCTGTCTCTCTGCGTCTCTCAGAGGTGGTGCGGCCTCTGTGGAGGGCGGGGGTCGCCGCGGGCGCTTGGCCGGCTTCCCTGCGAGCCTGCAGCGAAACACAGAGAAAAACACGGGACCCTCAGAATGAATTCAGAATGAAGGAGATGGAGAGGTCTCCCATGGAGAGTCAGAACTCAGCGCGCCACCCTTCCAGGCGGCCCTCGGCCGCGCCTGGAAAGATCTGCGGCGCAAACGAGCGGCTCAACTCTAGCGGCTACACATTGCGTCTTAGATCATCTTAGAAAATGATGGTCGCTATGATGTCGCCGCGTCGGTGTCTCTGGCCCGGGCTTGGCTCCAGCAGCTCGGCCTGGAAGAGGTCCCCGGCGCAGCGCCAGAGGCCTGGCCCGACGACGCCCCCCCGTCGGTTCCACCACAGTTACAGCTCCACGCTCTCGCAACACACATCGCAACGCACATCGCAATACTCATCGCAATGGCTCGTCTCACTCTGAACTCGAAGTCTCGCCCTGAAGCCATTTGCACCATATGCGTTTCACAAAGTGGCGGCGGGCACGTCCCAGCAGTCCTTCTTGAGCTTGAAGGGACCTCAGCAGGGTCCTCTCTTTGTGCTCCCTTTGATTCCCTTTGTGCGCATGACCACCGTCGCCCACCTGGAAAGCACGCGCTGGAGCAGATCCTCCACTTCCTGGAATTCACACGTCGAATGACAAGCCTCTCACGCTCCCTTCAAGGGACCTGCCGCAGCCGCGCTCGGATGCGTTGAAGCTGGCGCACCTTGCAGGGAGTGGGAAATGGGGGCACAATGGGGCACACCGGCTTCAACCGAACGGAAGCTGGTGTGAGATCTTAAGCTCCCAGGCAATTGCCGGTGACTCGAACCTAAGCTCCGAAAGGCGTAAACATCTGCCACCACAACGCAAAGAAGCCTTAGAAAGCCCTGCGCAACTGCACAAAGTAGAAAAGCGCTTAATGTATTGGGGCTGTGGCCGGAAGACGCCGGAGGACCGGGACCTTAAGTTGAGGAGGCGAAGACAGAAGAGGCGGAAGAGGTGTTGAGGGAGTGGGCAATTCCTCATACAGTATGGATCCGATATCTGAAGGCCACTGTTATGAAGTGTGGCAGATGAGGTGAGGTGAGGTGAGGTGAGGTAAGGTGAGCTTCGACCGAGGCACGAGCCTGGCCTAACAAAAAGGTAGCCCCTCCAGCGCAAGGCCTAAAGAGCAAACCCCGGCAACACAACGCAAAGGAACAGCAACAGGGAACAACAACACGAAACGCACGAAACGGACGAACGAGCGAAACGAACGGAGATCATCAAGCAAATCTCATAGCCTCCCTGGAAGTGTGGCAGATTTGCGTTTGTTGCTTCTGCAGTACAAGTATGTCCCAGTACAGGAAACGGGACAGGCACAGAAGCAGCTTCGGTAGGTACCGAACCCGTTCTCTATCTATCGCCGCCTACAAGCAAAAAAATATGTTACGCGTGGTCCTTCGATGTCATCCTCTTTAGCCATGTGTCGGTTCTGCAGCCTACAGGGCATGGGGAGCGACTCAAACTTGTGGTTCCGGACGGGCTGTAAGAAAGCCCGCGGCTTTACAAGTCCAGCGCTTACGAAGCTGCGGATCTATTGCCGAGGTACAGGTGGGATGTGACAGCACGTAGTGCTGCTTCCGAGGTGAGCAGGGAGAAGAACTCGGCCTGGTACAGGCCGTGGCAATGCCGAGCCGCCTCGCAACATCTCTCAGGCCCCTGCATCGAAAGGCAGCGCCACAGCATCAGGCGCCTGACCCACACCACGCAACACAAAAGGGCAACGCAAAAGGGGCCAAGTGCAAGAGGTCTGTAGCCGTCTATTGCCAAGATATGCCAAGATCGAGAGCAACTCGACGCCCCGCTCCGGACCTGCGCTGTGTCCGCCATGTCCGGGCTCGGTCCCGTCACAAGAAGGACATCACCTCAAGAGACTGATAAAAAAAGAGATGGCCTGATGCATAAGCCTCATAAGCCTGCTGAGTCGGCCTGCTGTAGACGCAGCTTGTGTAAAAACACACCGGGGATGCTGCCAGTCGCCGTGCACCGCGCATGCTCTCTAAGTCTCAATCGAAGAACCTGTATAGACGGGAACATCGAGCGCAAATGAACTCATAGTCCGTTCCCACGAGAACCGAGCAGGGAAAGTTCTGCAAAGCTCCAAGGCCACCTTCCCAGTGTTCACGCGCAGGTTCGATCAAAGCGTATCCACAAATATCTGGCAAATGATGTAACATGCGCGTACACACACATCCACGCGCCCACGCGCCCACGCGCCCACGCGCCCACGCACCCACGCGCCCACGCGCCCACGCACCCACGCACCCACGCACCCACGCACCCACGCACCCACGCACCCACGCACCCACGCACCCACGCACCCACGCACCTACGCACACGTGCGTAAGCACCCACGCACCCATGCGCCCACGCACCCACGCACACGTGCGCAAGCACCCTCGCGCGCCCACCCGCCTGCGTAAACGCGCACCATGAACACGCCCGCATGCCCACCCACCCGCCTGCAAGCGCACGCGAGCGCGCGCGAGGGCACGCGCCTGTTCACGCCACGCACGCATGCATGCACGCACACGCAAGTGCACGCACGCACGCACGCACGCACACACACACACACACACACACACACACACACACACACACTTTTACACACTTCACTTATACACTTGATGTGTACATCCGTGGGACTTGTCAAGGTAGGAAGCGAAGAGCCGTAGAGGCAGTAGAGGAGGCGTGAAAAGATGTGGTAGGGGAGGATGTATGATCATTTACATGGCAATAAGGCGTTATATGGTGTACGAGGAGAACGCACTCTGACGTGCTAAACGCTTTAGGCATGCTACTGGACTCACTATTGATTGCCGAAAGTGTTGTACAAGATTTCCTTCGACATGCGTTAGGAATGCTAGGCCAAGAACTTGTTCATGAACTCGCGTGCTGGACCAAAATTGTTCTTTACGTCGTAGGTTGTTGCACGCAGAAGCTCCACACACGTTGCAATGGCACAAACTCTCTGTGCATGCTCTGCAGCTTTTCGGCATGTAAGAAGAACCTCTTGCGCTCAGATTCCAATGGAAAAGACAATGCTGCAGTGTGGTCGTCTCTGTTTTCTTTTCCATGAAAGATTAGGGGAACTAGATGTCGAACTTAAGGCTTGGGCTCGGCAAGAGCATTCGTGAAAACCAACCCATGTCAGACAAAATCATGGGACTGCAGCCCAACGACTTGCCTGGGGCCGCCAATGTCAAGCCGAGGGCAGCTCTGCAATATAAAAAATGTTCCCCCACTGCAGTTGCAGAGTCGGACGTCTCCGACTGCTTCACCACAAACCACACCCGTCTTCCTGCTAACCATGTTAGTGGGAGACCCATGGCCGTGCTCCTATCTCTTCTTCCTCTTTTCACAATCAGCATGCCAAAATTGTTGTTCTGCTCTCACTTGATGTTCTGACCGCATGTGGTTTGGTTTGCCCCCCACACACACACACACATGCGCGCGCGCGCCACAACCGTGCGCTCGCCCGGGCGCGCGCGCGCGCGCGCGCGCGGGCGTGCGCACAGGCACACGCGATCAGTCACGCTCGAGCTCTCTCACGCTCGAGCTCTCTCACACTCTCCCAGACTCTCTCGCTCACACGCACACGGGCGCCCGTGCACCCTTGCACACACGCTGACAGAAACGCTCACGCATCAAGCATCGCGCTTTTCACGCAGTGACGCACGACAGCCTTGGGCAAGCCCTGCGCATGCTCGGCAGCGAGGCCGAGCTGGAGGAGGGCTTGGACGGCCCGAGGCCAGGTGCCGAGCACGCTGGCCTCCACAGGGCAAAGGCTTCAGGGATGGGCCATGGGGCTCTGCAGATTTCTGCAGGGTTACAGGACATGGGCGAAGTCGGCCAAGCCAAGATTTCCCCCTCTATGCTCGCCTATACTTCTCCTTCTGGTCTGCGAAAATCCCCCCTCAGCCTCGGGCAGCGGCACCGTGGACTGCTCCGCCTCACAGTGCTCGAGATGCTGCGCCAGGTCATTGCGAGTCACCTGAAAAAGCTCTTCTGAATTCTCCATCGACAAGTTTGCAGAACCTTTTCCCCTGCATGCGAGGCGGTCTCTGTGGCTAAGGGCGACGCCCAGCATCCATGCACGACGCGCTCTTCCACACGACGCACCTCAGGGGACCATTCGCAGCTTGGGACTTGGGAGGGGTGTAGGACTGGTCGTCCGTGCCAAACAACAAGCAGAGGAAACCTGAAAGCCCATACAGCCTCATCTAGCTTGTCGGCTGCTGATTCTGAAGCTCGCTTGGTGGGGTTCTGGGCTGAGAGTCTCGGCGGCCCCTGCTGATGCTCGCTCAGTGCGGGCCTCGAATGCAGATGCTACTGATGCTCGCTCGGCGTCTTTTGTTCGCATGCCAGTGACGCTTGAGGGCCTCGGCGGCTGCTCATGATGCTGAGCGGCCCCTGCGCTTGTGCTTGCTCGCTTGGTCCGGGTTCGCTGCTGCTCATGGTGCTCGCCTGAATTCTCATGATGCGCGCTCGAGAACGTCACATCAACAGTTCTGAGGGTGTTCAATCTCGGCTTGCTTTTGCATGGCTTGCCTGGAGAGATATCCAGCCTGCATCTGTTCGGTCTAGAGATCTGAAATGGGCACTGCGCAAGCCGCAGTTTTTCCTGATCCGAGGGAAGACGGACTTCACCGCATGATTGGGGCAATGAATGCTCCATCATCTGGTAAAGGGCAACATCCGAATATGGGGAGGCGTGCTACTTGAGGCAACTGGGCCTGTTGACCGAAGCCAGCATAAAAAGCCCGCAAGCATCACAGTGGTGAAAACCAAACACCTTCCAGGACGAGGCCCAGGCAGCCGCAGCGCAGCGGAGGAGCAACTCCGCCACTTCGGCGACCAGCCTGCCAAGAAATCTGGGCCCGAGAGCTGCGCTTCGCTGGGTTACGTTTCTAGCGCGATTCGCGTTGAGTCGACAAGGCTGCCCGGGCCCCCGCACGCGTCAGGAGAAGAACCGGTAGAAGTGCCTGCCACAGGGTAACGGTCACTTTGCACCATTGCTCTACGAGTAGCTGTGCTGCCGAAGGCACTGCAGCACTTCAGCAGGGTCGCCACATTCCGGACCTTCTGCGATGTTCCTACTCTGGAGAAGGCAAGGGGGAGGGAGGAATAGGAGAGCGAGAGAGAGCGAGCGAGCGCAGCATCTCCCAAATTCATACTCATCCCTCACATGCCACCAGATGCATCTCTTTTGCCTTATGGAACACCTCTCTCGTCTCCTCTGAGTGGGCTGCCACAGAGGCCGCGCAGAGTGTGCGGCTCCTCTCTCTTGCTCTCTCTAAGTATCTCAGACCCCTCTTCAAGAGTCAGATACTTCTCAGTGACTTCAACCCAACGGGGGGCCACCTTCCACCGTCGGCACCATCGGCATAATTCCGAACCAGGTGGACGCCCACCACGCGCAGGCGGAGTTGCAGCCTCCGAGAGAGCAAAGCATGTCGAGTGATGTGTATTTGGTGCTTCTTTGTTCCTTAATTCTCCTTCAGTTGAGAAAGGCACTGCACGTTTTTGGTCGGCCTTTTGCCTCTTTTTTCCCTTACGAATGTGTAGCAGATGGCATTCCGAATTTCAAGTGGAGGAGCCTGGGGTGGGAAAGGTCACTGAAATCATTGCCAAAGCGTCCGCGAGTGTCACACAAGTTCTCTACGTAGCTTCGGAATCCTGCGTTCCAGCATTTTTTCCGCACTTCTGATTGAGTACCTCGCAGAGCCGGCAGTTCATGGTCGAGTATTGTTTCCGTGCGTTCACGTTGAAGCATCGTCTGCAAACGACGTTTGTCCTGGAGCCTCAGATCTTGCAAAAGACTGTTGTTTTGCTACAAAACTATTTGAAGGGGCATTTTCTCCTCGAACAAAACCACGGTTTTTTCTGTATGGTTTCTGAGTCATGGCCCAGCCTTTCCTCTCCCCACCGAATCTTATCCAAAACAGCTTTTTGTTTGTACGAATTGCATGTGAGCACCGACATACTCAAAAGGGAAAAGGGCTCTCGAACTTGAGGTGCAAATGGAAGGCCCGGCACTCCTAAAGTCGAGGCTTTCCCCCCTTCATTCTTCCAACTGGTATGTGGGTCGGTCAAAATCCTGTGGTACAAGAGCAACACTAGCACAGGGTAAGAAAACACACCGCTGGATCCGCCGACCCTGGCGGCGTGTTGGATGGGAAAAGGAGGTGAAAACCTCCCTCTTTCCCTCCTTACCCCCCCAAAACGTGGGGGGGGGGTAGGGGGGGGTACCCGGGCAGCTTTTCCATGCAGAACCAGCCCACCCACACCGCATAAACTCACGGACCATAGGCGGTTTCGCCCAGGACATAGGGGTCCTTTGGGAAAAACCCACCCACCCCCCCCTGACCGTCTGCCCCCTACCCCCCCCCTCCCGCTTGCTGGGCTAAGTGATGGGGGCTTGGCTTCAACCCCAACGTTTCTTTCTTTAACCTGGTGCTACCCCCCCCCCCAACGTTTCACAGAGGCTCAAGCAAATCAACTTTTGGCATCCTGAAACCTTTCAACTATGCTCCAGCGGGGTCGGCGGCTTGAGCCGGAGGCTCTTAAATTTACGATTCAGCACCTGAGAGAGGCCACGTGGGGGCCCTGTGTATGGGGAGTTGGAAGAAACTGAGGCGTGAGTCCAAAAAACAAAAATGCTAGGAAACAGCGTGATTGACATTAGGTCTCTCGGAAAAAGTTCTCGCAGCACAGAGCGAACTAATCGTGCTCGATATGCCTCTACAGCAACAACGCAACCGTTTTCACTTGTGTATGCATGGCATCATCATCCTTACCAGCACCACCACCAGCACCGCCTATTTCCTGCACCCGAGGCGCACCCGTGCGTCAGGTGGTGAAGCATCTGTCGGAGGAAGTGCAACAGCGGGGCCGCTCTCGCCTCCCCCAAGGCTTGCGATTGCCACCGCTCCAAGACTTCCCCTCGCCTTAACAAGCAGCAAACAACAGGGTCCTCGGCTTGCTGCCATTCGGATGCGGCTGCAGCTCCTGGTTTCGGACTCTCGGCTAAGATCCCTGTAAAGATTAGAGACACACGAGCTGAAAAAAACAACCAACTACAAGAAAACTGCAAAAGGCTGCAATATGTCATGAACTCAAGTCCGGGAATTATCGGCAAAGAACCGTGCAGCATCGGCGCCTGCCACCTCCTCCAAGACGCTGAGGTCCAGGCGAAGGTCCTCGATAAGTTGGCTTGACTATCGGAAGCAGTTTTTCGGGGACCAAGAAAAACTAGGCAGGGTCCTGGCTGGGCACCTGAGGCACAGGAGCACTCGTGCGACATGCGAGAACTGTAATTCCGTGGTATAAGTATATGCCATTTTAATTTGATTGCAACAACAGGAACTTGACCCCAAGCCTCGTCAGAAAGCTCGGAGGGGCCCTCGAACTTCTTGCCACAGACCTCCTCATCACGGCAAGGCATCAACGCCCTGCAGCCCCCAGGACTTCAGGTCTAGAGCTTCAGGCTCCGGAGTCAGGACTTGGATGTCACGTTTCGGGCAGTGGTAGTCTTTCAGGGTGGGATGCTTGCCGTCGTGAACAAGAAAGAAGTTGCCGCTCCAGAGTGCTTTGCAAGTCTGAAGAAGGAAACAGCCAAGTGAACGGGAAACCGCCCCATGTGAGCCCTTTTCATGCGATAACTTGTCAATGGTGCACCTGGGGCTCTGTGTGAAAATTCTGTCTATGTTGATTCGTGAAGGGAGAAAGGAGGCTGATGTGAAAGTGGGACCTAGGATTGCGGCTCCTGGGCAAAAGCTGCGGCTGTTCGGTGGGCTTCAGCCCAGGACCTGGCTCGCAGCGCTCTGTTTGGGAACGTTGGGAAGTTTCGGAACGTTCTTCACCTTTCCGTGAGCATTTGGGAACGTTTTGGCGCTTAGGGTTCGAGGTCGTTTTGCGGCGGCCTCAGGCCGACAATTGCAGGAGGGTAAGCGTATTTGCGCGCGCATGTGCATGCGCATGCAAGGAACAGTAAAAGCAACTGTCTCTCTCTCTCTCTCTCTGTGTGCGCGTGTGTGTGTGTGTGTGTGTGTCAACCCCGAACTTCCAAGGGGTAGGCGTTTAGCTTGGGCATTCAAAATTTTGCACACGGGGGTGCACAAACAAAGACACTCACGAGTCGCCTGTGAGATGGTGGAGGACGCTCCGGTGCCTTGCGTCTACGTAAGTTTTTCTCACAAGACGGCTCCTTGGACACAGATCAGGTGCCTTGAACTATACTCAATCTTGCTTTTCCGGCAACGAGTGGTCGTGAGGATGCAGTGGGAGCAGTTGCAATTAGCGTTGAATGGGTTCCACACACGCATCTAGCCAGAGTATGCCAGAGTTCGAAAACAGCCACAGAAAGAACGAGCCCCGAGCTCAGGTCCATTAAAGCAGCAGTTCTCAGACTCTCTTTGCTCCAATCGAACGTCGTTCTTTCTGGGCCGACATGTTTATACCCGATTCATTCTGCGCTGGTATTCGCTCCCTCCAGGAAGAGGTTCTGTCAAGAACCTGTCAGCATTGAGTGCTCGAGGACAACCACTTGTTTGATCCTTCTTCCGTTTTCCATCGATTGTTGGCCACATCAAAATAGTTTGACAGCAACTGTTTTGCTCAGTTTTTGCAACGCAGCACTTGTTGCGAACTCTGTCCGTTTGTCCAATTCAACCCGCGCCGGCCTACTTCGATGATGGATCATCCCCTGATATCCCCTGTGCCGCGATCTATGGTCGTGAAGGTGAACAATGGGATCCGACTTCTTTCCAAAGTCAACGGAAAACAAGTCAAACAAGGACCTATCTTTTGCCTGGGCCAGAATATAGCGCCGTGCCGATTTGCAGGCAACGCTTCTTTTTCAAGCATATTTTCAAAGTTCTGCCGGATGTCGAAACCATTCCATGGCCCAAGACTGCAGAGGTGAGCTTGCCAAATTTGCAGCCAGAACGTCGATCAACAACTTTATGGCATTCATTGCTGCCTGTGAGCTTCAAGCATTTTCTAGAACAATGTTTGTATGCTGGTACCTGTGGAACTTGTATCTGTGTAGGTAGGTCCTGTCTTGCTAGGTGGGGGCAGAGGGGATATACACTGTACGGTGCATGATGAAATTGCTCGTGCAGCGGTGCAGCACAAACAACCAGAAAATCATATGGGGTGCACGGGAGTTCTTAAGCATGGGACAAGGTCGCTTGATATTGAGAAGGTTTGGGTCCAGTGGATGCTGGATGCACGGACGGTTTCCTCATGCCTTCAATGTGCACTGACAATCGTTCTCTTGGTCCAGGCTTGGGGAATGCCGAATTGGCCTGGAAGAACTCCATGCCGTTAGGTCCACAGAGGCTGCCCGAGAGCCTCACTCACTCCGCAACCCTTCCTGTTGGTGTAAGCAATGTAGAAAGCCAGGCAATGGGGCTAAGGAAAGCCGGGCCCGGAGCAGTAGAAAAGGACCTCCCGCGCACCGCCCAACGCGGCATCCTGGGCTTCTGTCTCAAGCTCTCTCAGGCTCAGACACAGACATACGGACATCCACTCCAGTCCACTCCTCTCCAAAACAAAAAACTGGGGTCTTCGGGCGCCGGCGAGAAAACGAAGCTTGTGAAGCGTTTCTTTGAGTGCCACTGTCGACAGGGAGCCGCCGGGGAAGAGCACGGCGCCTTCGGAAGGTGCTCTGTCACAAGGGCGAGGCACCGAATTTATAGAAGGCATCCGTGAAATGCGTGAAGCGTGTTGCCAAGGTGCCGGCAGTTGATGAAGTAGGCGGTCCGGGTGGTCTCCTGCCAACGACTTGCAGCTGCTGTGGACTCCTCGTTGCAGCGACCACGACCCCATTATTGACTTCACGAGTTATCAGTCGGGGCCGACATCCGACACCCCCCTTCCATACATTCCATCGCAGTTCTGAGCATCACAGGACCGCCTTTAGGAGCTTCAACGACGTCGAAAGCACTTCGTGCATGTCCGCCCAAAAGCCCTGGCGGCTAGAGAATATGGCGAAGTCTCGAAGAAGAGAGATGCTAACTGCGAGGCTGAGGTTTTCCTCTGCCTCCTCTTCCTCCGGCTCGAAAGCTTTCGGCTCAGCGGCACGGACCTCGGTTCGCAAGGTCCGCTAGTAACCGCTAGTACAGATTGAAAAGAGCCTCGCTTGGGGCTTTGCCAGGGCTTTGCCAGGGCCCTTGCCAGGGCCCTTTGCCGGGGCTTTGCCAGGGGCTTTGCCAGGGGCTTTGCCAGGGGCTTTGCCAGGGGCTTTGCCGGTTGAGGGTCCAGGGATGTCCAGCTGTCCAGGGACCCAAGCCGTCGCCAAGCCACCATGCAGGAATCGAAGGAGCCGATCCTGCAAATGCACCGGGGCCCTGAGTCAACTCTGAAAGGCTTGCCATCCCGAAGCTCTGAGTCCAGGTGGTCGCCCCCAAGCTCGGTAAACTGCAGGGTAACAAAGCGCACCTTGCGCTAGCCAGGATCGTTTCGGGAATGGCCAGCTTGACCCCATGACGTGGCCCCTGCCTCTGGGTCAAACTTCATGAACTCTGGGGCCTGCCATTGCAGACTCTAAATCTAAAGTCCGGACCTGTCAATTCAGCTGGGAGCCAGTCAGCCTCTAATGTAAGCCATACTTGCCTGAAGGGGTTAACTCCTCTCTCCGGATGGGAGCAGCAACTACTCTTCGGATGAGAAGGAACACCATGTCTGCAGGGACCATGGCGAAGTGCTGGTCCCTCGAAATCCATAACTGCTGCCTGCATATCTGTTTAGCTTAACGGACAGTGTGGGCATCTGCGGGTGCTTCAGTATCAACCTGTGGCACAACTTCGGGCTTCCGGCCGCATGTGTTGCTCGTCTCTGGATGCTTTGGGGGAGTCGTGGATCATGTCTCAAAGCCACAGTGGTTCACACACCCTGCACTCCGATCAATTCGGTTCACCGTTCCACCTCCTCCGTGCAGGTGGGATCCCACAAGCCAAACCTTCGCATCGGCTCACCAACTGCATCAATACACCAATAGACGGCCGCCCTTCAATTGAAACCCACACCGTATCTGCTCAGAACTCAACTTCAACCCGGAACCCATGCCCCAACTCGAAGTGTCTTTGACCTTTCTGAGCCCCACGCTCTTGGGCGAAGAATGCGAAATTCTCGATGCTTAACCTCAGGCCACAGTGGCTGCTCAGCTTAGTTCGTGATTGAATAGGAATCGGGAATGTTCGGAATGGTTCATGGCTTGGGCCTTTGGCTGCTCTACGGCTGCTCTTTGCTGCTCTTTGGGGGTGCTTCCGTGGGTCTTTGGGCAGGCTGGGCCTTCGGCATCACGAGACCTCGCGCAATGTCCGTGTCCATGAAGGGGATCTCATCCCTATCCGGGAATGCAAGCTGACCCCTTGCACCCCTTGACATCGAACAAAATCCTGGTTGCCTGACAAGGCTCTTGAGCTGGTTCGGATCCTCCTCACGGATGCTGACAGGCACTCCGCAGGCAACCACCGAGCCCATGCAGCTTGCAGGGGCAAACAAGCAAGCTCGCAATGGGCCTGTCCCAGCCAGCTATGGGGCACAATGCGGGTGTTGAGGAACGAGCCTCTTGGTGCTGTAAATGTCTGCTGAAGCACACAGAAGCGGGGAATGAACCACGGAATAAGAGGCAGACTGGAAAGGATGGGAAGAAGTGAAGACCTCAAACTTTCACTAGCTCGCACATGCTCGCTTGTGATGCCGCCTTCTGTGACATTCCACAGCTCAGCAAGGTCGCCCTGAGGCCGGCATTTACCCCATCTCATCACCATCACCACCACCATCATCACCAGCAGCAGCGCAGTGATAATCAGCAACAGCAGCAGCAGCAGCGCAGTGATAATCAGCAACAGCAGCAGCAGCAGCAGCAGCGCAGTGATAATCAGCAACAGCAGCAGCAGCAGCAGCAGCAGCAGCAGCAGCAGCAGCAGCAGCAGCAGCAGCAGCGCAGCGATAATCAGCAACAGCAGCAGCAGCAGCAGCAGCAGCAGCAGCAGCAGCAGCAGCAGCATCATCTGCAGCAGCATCTGCTGGATTGCCGCCACCGCCACCACCACCACCAGCACCACAACCTCGATGACGACTCATGACCACCACCTCCAGCAGCCGCTGACAAGGCCCCAGCAGCTGCATGAAGCCTGCATCGCCTCTGCTGGTGCTTTTCGTGTGCCAGGGCTGTCTTTCTGGAACTCGGGACACGGACCCTGAGGCCCCAACCGTTTCGGCAGAAGCTATGCAACATTGTGGACTTTCCGGCATTCCTGGAACCAGACTCTGCCGGTTGCAACAAGGCAAAGCAAGCAACACGCACAAAAACGATATTTCAAGAAAGACTGAAATTGCTGGACTTCCGCAACCGCAACCGTGGCAGGCCCGCTGGTCCCCCAAAAGTAGGAAGCTTCGAACCTCGGCTTCTGATTCGTCCCAGAGCCATCCAAAACCCTTCGACGCATGGCGTGGCCCGCTGGTGGAAGCTCCAGTATCCCTTAGTTTGCTTCATGAAAGGGTTTTTCTGGGCCTCGACAAAAGCCCCAAAACTTTAAACTAGCAACTAGAAACCAGCTGACTGGACCTGAGCCAAAGAAGCGGATTCCGGCTCAGAGTAGCCGAGGCCGGCACAGCACACGCCCCCAACCTGTGACTCGAGCGGGACTCGAAAAAAACACGTGTAAAAAATTTGCAGTCAAGTGACTCCGGTCGACCGATCACCGACTCCAAGTCGATCTCAGGAACCTGCCGATCGCTTTGTCATATCAATGGCTGAGTGGGAGACCTGCCTTGCACTTGGCCATGCCAACACCAAAGTGCCTCTTCGTCGTATAAATCTGGGTGCTTGTATGCCTTGCAATTGCAATCCCCAAGCCCTCACAGTGCGTGAAGACAGTGTGTGTATGTGTGTTTCAGGCCGGAACACACCTTTGCTCCAAGCCAAAACGCCCGTGCACGATGGGCGGCACCTTGGTCCAGGATTGAACCACCGCTGCGCACTTGTCGTGATGTGTCATGTAGTATCCTAGACCCTGTAAGTTTCGCACTCCGTCCACATCGGACATGGCGCACGTGCCCGCATCATGATGAAATTTGGTAAATGCCACTCAACTGCTTGGGTCCTGCCAGTCGCATGTGCATTGGTAGCCGTGTCTACGGCTGTTGAGAAATGTTGTTCGCATGGCTGTGTTGTTAGCATGGCTCATTGCCGTGGTCGAGATCCATATGCTGAGCAACCGTTCACAAATGAACCAGGAAAGCAACGCAAACTTAAAGCTCTTCAGGGACATTTCGACTGGGCGGCAATCCTCCTCCGTCCACTGCGCAAACGTATAGATCATGCACATACACATGTATACAAAAAAACACAACAAAAGGAATGCTTTTTGATTGAGGGCTTAGCCTTTTGGGCTTCTGGATACGGTGTTAGGGTCGAAGGAGGTTACGGCCACGGCTCCTTCCATCGCAGGGCTCCGCACCCTGAGTCATCCCTGAATCCTGAACCCTGGGCCCTAAACCCATTCCGAAAAATGTATTGGACAAGTCTGAGCTTGGTTTTGCTGAGCCAGAGTTCAAGCTCGGTAGCAGCGGCAACTCAGAGGAGGCAGGAGACAAAAGCTCGCGAATGCAAGTTTGCCCACCATCTCATGTTAGCTCCGCTGCTCATTTTTTATGTCCCGTGTCGAACCCACAACGATGCGAGCTTGCTTTGAAGCAGGTAGTGCTGACCGCTCTTGATGCATATGTTGTGATGTTGATAGCAGCAATGCCGTTTGCCCGTTTTTCAATAAAGCTACTGGCCACAACTGGCACATGTTCTGGGGTTGTCCGACATGTGCGATCAGAGGCCTCGTTGCCAGGCTGATGCTCTTCAAGCAAGGGTAGGCTTGGTTGGCCATGTGGACGAAGGACGTTGATACGGTGAAGTCACCTGACCTTATGCACACTTTTGCCAATTCCCATCCTTTTGGTTTGTTCCTTGTCTACGACATGGTATCTAACAACAGCGTTTATGACGCTTCATCATGCTCACGGCACATTCCAATCCCCGCCCTTTTGGAATGGCGCGCGACTGTGTCGGAGGCACCTCCAAAAGCACACAAGCGATGCAGGAACAGTCGAACGGTTAGTTGAGGTTTTCTACCATCAAGCATGCCATGGGGCCACGGGCATCCGCCAGTCTCCTAAGCGGGGGCGTTCGTGAAAACCCGTATGGCGCACCCTCAGCGCATCTGAGCACTTAGACTTCACCGCCCCCAGCATCCTCCAGCACCTGTGCTTACACCACAGGTCCACCCACCCACCTTCCCCACGCTGCCCATCTGGATGACTTCAGCCCCAACCCCCCCCCCCCCCACGCCGAATCCCGACATCCTCCCAATCCCCCCCCTGTGCAGCTGCCAGAGGCCCAGGATCCACTCTGCTGGCCCCCTTCTGCCCGTCCCAGGACACTCTAAGAGGGCGTGTGCAATCTAGGTTTTCTGTGGTGCAAGTTGAGGTACTACACTGAGTAGTTTGCTGCTGACTGACATATCAATTAGCTGCCTACACTACTCGTTTGCTGCGTTTCGGGCATAATGGTCTCTGAGACTAAACAGAATTTCCCCTCTCAGTTCCAGCACTGCGCTTGAATGGCTTTAGCACTGCTGAATCAGAAGGCCTGTACAATTAAATGAGAAACGACATCCGTCTCAGGCATCATGAGCGTTCTTGTGCTTGAAATTCGGGATACTCTTTTGTTTTTGTTGCATTCATTGCAATATAAGCTTCAACTTTGAGGTCGTTTTCGGGCTTTTTTGCCGGCTTCAACTCTTTTGAACAACATGGTTTTAAACGTGCGCATTTAAACTACCTTCCTCGTCTGAATATACTAATTCTGGTTTCTTGCCCATTTTGTATCCCTTCCATTGTACCCGCCAATAAATCGGGCGGTTGCTTGCTTTGAAGAGGAACAACAACTGCAAATTTACGAAGTAGGCCTATCAGAACTAAACCAATCCTAACCTTTTGATTTTTCAAATCATTGTTTGTAATAAACAATAAGTCTAGTTGATATCCATAATGAGCATAAAGTGCAATAAACGAATTAAACCCCGACATCGGCCTCTTCCTATCCACATTCTGTTCAAACCATGCTTTAACATCCGCTAACGTAGTACTCTTATCTTTAGCCTTAGCATCTTTAAACGTTGCGGCGATGCTTCCAAAACCGCTTCTATCAAAATAAGTATCCGAATTATTGTCTGACTTTGAAATAAATATTACAAAATATTCATTACAAACTATCTTGCGCAACATTGCACATAACACACGCTGTTATACAATGCGCCTTGTCATTGTTCAGCCTATTGGCCGATAAATTGGTAGTGAGCTTGTGACCATCCCCGTAGAAACGCAAAGCAGCCTCAGAAACCCTACGCACTTAAGGTAAGGAAACCAGGGAAACTACCAAACCCCACAACCCATAAAGTAAGCAAGCACTTACCACACCTTTTCACTCGCAGGCGAAAGACATTTGCAGAAGCTCGTGGCCATGAGCCTTGAGCTAGGCTCCTTGAGCCAAGGCTCCACACTTGAGCCAGCTCATCTTGAGCCAAAGCATAGAGGCGGCTTTAAGCACTCACTGCAGGCTTCCAAGCATGCTGAGGCTCTTCGGGTACAAGGCAAAACAAGACCAAGTCTCTTCAAACACTTTCTGGCCTTCCCAAACTCTCAGCAGACTTGTTCTACCAGCTGTGTACACTTCCCTACAGGCGGAAGGCACTTCACCTCGATAGTTCGGGTCGGGTAAGAAACGGACAACATTCAACGACAACCGAACGACTTTCAAATCACCATGGAAACATGCACAAGTTATGTTTGTCAATTCCAGACCTAGATCTGGTGGCACAGACTCTAAAATTGGGTTTGAATTTCATCCGGTAGCGCTCCAATCCGCAGCCCGTCGCTGTCAAGGTGAGACCACAGCATTGCGGCTGGCAACGGCATTCTTTGAATCCGGCCGGCTACAGTGGCAAACCACGCCTTGGACTTAGCAGTCAGGCAAAAGACAGTGTCGTCGAGCAAGACATTAACTTGATCCCAAGTGGGAACAAGCTACCCGTACCCTCTTACTGGGAATGGGCCACCATATCCCGAAGGTTGCAGGAAGTGGAGACCACGTTCCATGCAGCCTTTGTTTTTAAGTGGACGCCCCTTTATACATCAGTAGCACAGGCCAGTCTAATGCGACAGAAATAACTACATTAAGAGTTAACACTGTGCAAGCCAGCGAGCGTCAAAGAAGTGATCGCTCTGAGAACTTTTCATGGCCAGTGAAAGGTCAAACGTTGCTGCGTCGAGGGCACATCCTTCACGGTTGGCCCGGCAGGAGCACGAATCTGTATCATGCTGAGCTCAGCTCATCCCCTCATTCCCACCCCACCTCTCAAGTGTCGGGCGGGCAGAAAAGGGAGGGTGCACTTGAGATATCATAATTGCGGCCATTCGCCGTTTGGAAAAGCTATCAAACATGTTCCAAGAACTTCCATGATCGCTCTGAGAACTTTTCATGGCCAGTGAAAGGTCAAACGTTGCTGCGTCGAGGGCACATCCTTCACGGTTGGCCCGGCAGGAGCACGAATCTGTATCATGCTGAGCTCAGCTCATCCCAAACCCGCATGTCTCACTCCCCGAAACAGCATGCTCACTGGTTCCACCGCTTCTGAAAATTCTCAGCAACCAAACTGACCTGGTAATTCAGGAAGGAGATCGCAAGAGCTCTGCAGAGGCTATGTGGATATCGCTCTGCAATCGTGGTCATCCAGCGGCCCCTCGCGTTCTGATTTGCTGCCGGAATATGCGGCAAGTGAGTCCTATTACACACCCGTTTAGACCCAAGGCATCGACGATGCTCAATGAGGTGCAAGGAGAGATGAACCCCAATGAACATTGTAGATCTCCTCCAAGGTGCGCCAAACTGACAGAACTCGATCACGCAGTGCTGCACCTGCTTACGTCTAGTCAGCTGGCACATCGGAGGACACAGCCACATCCGAGAAGTAGCTGGGTTTTCAAACGTGCAGGCAACATGAAGAACAATGCAGAGCTGCATGAACCTTACCGTGAACTTCATCAACGAGTTGGCCGCGTCAACGCGGCGCTGGTCTGCTAGCGATAACCCCCTTAATCCAAGTGGCTGGTCGTTCGAGCGCAGAGGGGGAGGGCCAGGCCTGCAATCCCGCGCACGAGTGAAAGTTCTGCATGGTGTGCCCAAGTGAGCCCCTATGATCTTACCGGCCCTCAACCAGCCCAACACTTTCCACTGAACGTGTAGCAGGGTCAGGTCATATTCGGGACCATATTGGACATCCCAGAGAAGGACGTACCAGTTCGTGAAACGCGAAATCGCCCGGCCGAGACGTCCGGACCCACTGAAAATCTCTATGAACACGGGCTTGTCGGAGATAGGTGCGTTCAGCGCAGGGAGCGGAGGAGCGCGTCCAGCCCGTCGGTGGCCATCAGACACTCGTGCTGCACGGCGTCTTTGAGGCTTGCGAACAATTGCGCCAGCCTGGCTCCTTTCTGGTAGCGTCTCACACTCCGAGCAGCCTGCCAGCGTCCTCGCGCCTGTACACTTGCCAAGTCTCGCAAACCGTTGGCATAGTCGTGGGACGCTCCTCCGTGCCGTAGTCGATACATATGCAAAACTCCGAGGGGACCAAGGTTGAGCGCATCCCTCGCAGACGCCAGCAGCTCGTTCACTTCTGAAGTCGTAACGGAGAAGACCTTGTCTCCTGGAGCCCGAGCCTGCAGGTTGAGCGCCCTCCACAGCGCTGCCCCCATCTCCTTGTGGTAGGCGAGGTCCAGCTGGAGCGACTCGTCGAACTCCTGTGTCTTTGAAGGCACCCCTTCCTCGTACGGATGGAGGATGAACGTCCACATGGAGAAGGCCCCCTTCTTGCGCGTTGGCCTCACCACATCCTGGCACCGCAACTTCAGGCCTTCGGACGGCCTCAAGTACAGCATGAACGATAGGAGAATGAGGAGGGCTATCTGGATGTGTCCACTTTTGATGGCCCAAGTGCTGATGAGGGCCACCACTTCGAACGGTATCGGTAGCCGGCTTTTTGCCGGCGCTAGCTTCTGCCATCCATTCAGACTCTGTCTGATCCTTGGAAGTCCCTGCAGCCCGCAAACCTTGAGCGCCACACAGAAGTACATTATGGCAGCCACCAGGTAACGTCCCGTGGCCAGATCGTCTCCGTCCATATACATCTCCTCCAAGTGATTGCACACCACGTTCTCTACTTCGGCCTTGTCCTTCAGGAGACCGTTGGATTTCTCGATCTTGGGTCGGATCGTTTCCCACAACATTTTGTACCTTGCACGGCATGGCGCTGACACTGCGGCCTGCTCCAGGATCGTCTTGTTGGGGTCGGCTCTGCTGAGGCGGGCCCGTGCGCATTTTCGCCTCCGCTTCACTTCCTTCCGGCTTGCTTCTTGACATGCACCTCTCATCTCCTCGGCCGCCACGCTCAGAACCTCTGCCGCCGCTGCCTTTGGTCTGCTCCCCGTCCTTGGTCGCTTGCTCATCGGCTGCGAGTCGGCCCTCCCGAGGTCGCGGTATATCACCATGGCGCCGCGCCGGGACTTGTTTTGGAGAACTTGGGACCCACCCACCTCTAGATGGGGAGTCGGAAGGATTGTATTCAGACGGTATCCACCTCAAGTGAAATGAACAGCCACTGCATAAGCTTAGAGCCCCGACTTGCTCACACACCCTTCTCAAACCGAATGTGTGAGCTCGACCACGACCCAGAGCGCAAGCAGCAGTCATTGAATCGGTCAAAACAAGGTGTTTGCGGCCAAAGCTTTCGCGAGACCTCAAGGCGTGTTTGACAGCATATAGGGTCGCCCTTGCCTCCCCAACCGGCAGCGTGATGGGACGTCGCCACCGATGCCGTCCAACCGTCACCCACTTCCTGGACACTGCTGAGAAAGGCACGGGTGGCACGAAACTCGTCGAGGCGTTCACATCACTGTCCTGCACAACCATCAAGCCTTCACCTTCAGCAGATTGAGTCTCTCGATCGAAGAACACCTGGGCCCGCGCGTGACTGGACAAGGACTCCTTGAACCTCCACCTCTCGCTATATTTCCCTAGAGATTTTGCCTCTTCAGGTTCGAAGTGAGATGTGGTGACTCCGAGTCCCCATTCACTCGCGTCAACCGCGTGCACTGTCGACGACCACTTGGCCCCAAGCCTCCTGTAGATGAGCGGCAATAGACCATCCCATTTTTGTAGCTCGGCTCGAACAAGACGCGGCATGGGAACCTCTTTGTCATGCGAGTAGTTGCGTCGAATCAACCGATACACCTCTCCGAACACCGACAAAGATTCGCGCCTGGCAAGCGAGATGAAGGTGCAGTGACCAATGACTTTTTCAAGTTGGCGAGCTGAAGATCTCCCCCTGGCAAGTAGAGCTCTGATAGCCAAGCGTGTCTTCCATGCTCGTCGACGTGACGGTCTAAACACCCCATCCCTAGTGAACTCCCAGCCCAAGACTGTGGCGCCTTGCTCGTTGACCTCCTCTTCGTGGACCTCGAGGCCGCTGTCCTTGAGCACCTTGACAGCACGCTGGTACATGCCGAGCACTTTTTCTTGGTCATGGCCGATAACTACAAGGTTGTCGACATACTGAGCGTGCATGGCCTGAGCCGAAGGAGCCGGGCGCCTGTCAACCAGCCTGTCGGAGTCGACCAGTCCGGCCTGTTGAGCAAGACGTTCGTGCACTTTTTGGCAAATGTACAAGGCCCAGCTCCAGCCCATGGGCACTACGGCCAATCTCGGATAGTATCTAACTCCCGGTTTGGCAAGTTGGCCCCCGACTGTGAGCCCTCGGAGATGGCGTCCATCAACGCCTGGTAGGGTAAAAAGAGGTCGAAGAGCCTCAGGAAGCGCCAAATGGTAGAAGGCATCTTTTAAGTCAGCACTGCAAATTATGAGGTCGACACCCTCCTCAACTTCAATGTTGCCGAGGCCATCCCCTGTCACCAACTGCACATGTGCTGGGTCGGCAAAGTGACAATTACTCTTGCGTGCATCAATGATCAATCTCAAGCGACCGTTCTTCTTGCTAACGAAGAAAATCCCTATCTCCTCGGATCCCGGCTCGAGCCCAATCTCCACGATGTTGGCTCGAAGCAGCCTGCGCACAAACTCGCCGTAGGTCTTGGGATCACGGAGCTTCGGGTCTGAGTAAGGACGAACTAAGCCACATGACTTCAGTCTGGAACGTGCCTCATCTGCTGGCAGCAACTGTCGCTGTACGTAGTCGCCAACATTCTCACCCCCGTCGGTGCCCCAAAGATCTCCCAGGTCCACGGGCTTCCACCCGTCGCCTGGTATTGAAACCCCTTCGGGATCATATGACGCGAGGGCTCCCGCCGATTGGTCTTCGACGTCGCCCCCAAGAGCCCGAAGCTTGCCGAAGCGCCTCTGGGCCGGACAAGTCCTCAGGAGGAGGAACCATCGCAAACCGAACTCTTCACATGATGGAGTGCCTCCTTCTGTGCAACGGATGCGCCCATCAACTTTGACTCCAAGGATTGCAGCGTTTTCCCACGACCACAACCAAACATTGAATTCAGGGAGCTGATCGTAAGGTTGACCTCATCAGTGACGTGCCTCCTCCTCAGCTGCCTCTGCGAGCAATGCCGCAAGAGGGCACCTGATCTCATCTCCCTTTCTTCGAAGGGCAAAGGAAGCAGATCCCGACAACGACCGTCCTCATCATGCACGGGGCGAAATTTCCGCCACCAGCCGTTGCCCCAAACCGGCCAGCAGCGCACCGCTCACTGATCATCCCCGCCTCCCTTTGGGCCCTTCTTACGCCTGGCAGTTCACGTTCTTCTCTGGCCTTGCGCAAGTTCTTGGCAAGGGAGGCCTCCTTCTCCGTCTCGGGTTGACTGCACGGATGCCCACAGGGAGGCCTCCTCCCAAGACCCCTTGCCCGCATTCCCCGAGATGCAAGGAGAGCTGTTCTCTGCAGACATCGGAGTCTGGCGTGGCCACAGCATGGTCCTCATTTCTCGCATGAGCCAACACCAGCCGTTCGTGCCAGAGTTCAGGTCCTGGCACGTCATATCTAAGGAAGATTCGCTGGTTAGCTAAAGCCATGAGGGCGACGTCGGATCACGCGAGCTGTCGATGAGCCAGTTCCGTCACTTTGTGGCGATGTCGGACTTTGCTCCTCACTGCTGTCCTCGACTTGCTCCCGTCGTCTGCATAGATGCAGCCCAAGACAAAGCCAATAATCAAAAATCCGATCAACCAGTTGGCTAAGCCAACAGCGACAACCAAAGAGACTTGAGCGCGCCACGACCCCAAATGATCAGGTTCTCTGCTTCGATCTTTCTGGAGCTTAGATGGCTCGGAAGGCTCACAATCTGCCTTGGCGACACACTGATGGATGACTGTTGTGGCACAGGCCTTTGCAGAAGAGCCCTCCCAAGAAACCGCTCACGTGCTGCGCAAGTGCTGTCGCAACCAGCAAAGGCCTTCCCATGAACCCTCTGGCCAAGATCGCTTTGCACTTGAGTTGTCTGCGACGAGTGTGAAGCATAGGCACGAGGACATGTCAGGCAGTGCAGATTTCTTTTGGCTTGGTGAGACCTTGTTTTGAGTGGGAAGAACCGTTTTCTGTTCGTTTTCTCGAAACTCGTTTGTCGGAACTCGTTTCCTGTTTGTGACTTGGTATTTGGTGACCAGAAGTGACTCAAGCCAGTTTAGGTCTGCACAGAGCTCAGCAGAGCACCTAAGAGGTGCTAGGAACCTACCCACAGTGTTTAGTAGAAGTTCCATGGCTGAGTGTTTTCACCTCGAGAATCTGTGAACAGCGCAGTGAAAAGAGTCCGCACTTCGTGCTGTGAGGGTTGAGTGTCGTCTTGACCTGAGGTAGCGGAGCTTCGTGCTCCAGCATGGACACTGGTGAAGAACGTGTGCCTGGACGAGACCGTTCTCCGAGAGGCCGCAGTGCAAGCAGCCTGAGTTCCACAGGGCTTTCTGGTGCAAGGTCACCAAGTGCCCGTGGGAGAAGAGAACGTGGAAGGTCTTTGCCAGCGCGACCAGGTTGAGTTCCACGCGGAGTAGACCCAAGGCAGTGGACAGCTACGACTGGAGCAGGCTATCAGCCACCAGTCGGGGCTGTGCCTTCGTTTGGACCTCAGTTCTACCAGATGGGAACACCCCTTCGGCACCACAAGAACCCCTTCAAGTTCCGAATATGCAGTTGCCCGTTGCACCTGGAGTAGCTCAACAGATGGAGTTCACGAGAGCAATGCTGCAAGCGCAGGACGAGCAGATCCGACAGCAGGCAGCTCAACTTCAACAGATGAGTGCCATGCTTACGCAAGCATTGCAGCTTGCAAGTGCGAATGCTGCCAATGCGCATATTGCAGCAGCTGCAGCTTCATCGTCGACGAGTCCTACACCTGGAGGAGACCCCTCAGCAGCACCTGCGAATGCATCGACTCCTGTGGACATGGAAGTAGACTCTGGTGTACGAAACAAGAGAGCAGAGGGTTACATTCCACAGTTGCCTCAGCTGAACTATGCGTCCATGACGAGCAGACATGCTGAAATCCGAGTTTGGACAGCCTACAGAGACGAACTTACGAGTTGGCTTTGTTTGCTCGACGACCGCTACGCTACGGAATTGCAAGAAGCGATCAGTAGCAATGTGGAAGTCTTGCAAGTGAGGCTTGAAGCCGGGAAAGCAGCCCGGTCAACCAAACTTTGGTTTTTGCTTCGTCAGTCCATGAGCAAGTTCCAACGTGGGCAAGATTTGGTGCATCTCATCGAGGTGAAACAAATGGGAGCAAGTGCCGGATACGAACTCTGGCGCTCGTTGAACAACGAATTGTCAGTTCGCTCCAGAGTGGAGGGACAAGCCCTCCGCGAACAGGCGTTAGGCCTGGTGCCACCAAAGCATCTCAAGCGACCACTTGATGTCGCCAGGTGGTACACCACCGAGCTTCTCAAGTTCGAGGCGCAGGTGAAGCATCGCTTCCCGGAGTTGCTCATCGGAGAACAAGAGGGAGTCCTGTGTCTGATGAAGCACTTGGATTCTGAGACCAAGAGATAGCTGCTCCTCCATCACTCAACAAAGAGCATGGGTGAGCTGATGACTGGTTTGCAGTTTTACGACGAGCAGCTTCGTGTGATGGATTTCCAGAGAGAAGGAGCATCCGGGTATGCGAATGCCTTCAAGGGTGGCAGAGGCGGAAAGGGCGACAGAGACAAGAGCAACAAAGGCCCCAAGGGCAACAAAGGCAACAAAGGCGAGAAAGGAGAAAAGGGACAGAAGGGTGGCAAAGCGAAAGGAAAGGACAAGAAAGGCGACCAAGGCGGAAAAGGAGACAGAGCTCGGAGCAAGAGCAGAGAAGCGAAGAAGACAGATGTCTGCCGGAACTGCGGGAAGACTGGACACTGGGCACGCGACTGCTGGGCACCTCCGAAAGACAAAGCCGCAGCGGCGACGAACCAGGCCGTTACGACGCAGCCAGAGGCACCATCGTCTTCATCGTCTACATCGGCGAAAGCAGCAGCGCAACCCACAACCAAAGGCAGTGGAAAAGCACAGTCATCAATCAAGACGTTTCTGGAAGGATATCACTTCGGTATGATGCTCACGAACCAGGTGGTTAGTTTTCCTTCAGATGATCGCGTTTACTGGTTGATTGACTCTGGTAGTTCGTTCCACATCATCACGAGAGAGACGCTTGAGAGCAACCACGTGAAGATCCTGAGTTGGTTGGAAGGACGCCCTAAGTCATATGCGGAGACTGCGACTGGAGATTCCGTTGAAATTGGCGGATCAACACATGTTTTAGTGGAAGTTTGCTTTGAAACCACCACCCCAGCATCATCGAAGAGCAGTTCTGAGCATGAGGGTGACGCTGTGTACATGTGTAGGGCTAGGTTTGAAGCCGTCATTTCCGATCAGATCAAGCACAATTTGCTGAACATCAACTTGCTTTGTCAGAATGGAGGTTGGGAGCCAGCGATGTGCGACCAGCAGGGCGTAATTACCGTCCGAAAGCACGGCGTAACGCTGAGACCAACCATGTTTGCTTCAGTTAGTTGGCTTGCGTCAGTTCGGAATGACCATCCTTTAGCGCTGAAACCGCAGGATTTGATCGCCAAAACGGAACAGTTTCGTCGAAGTCGGTCTCGCAAGTCGTCTTCGAGTCGTGATTTTCATCGTTCGACTTCGAATCGAGGTCATCGCAGCTCTGCGAGAGTGTGTGTTGAGCCCGAAAACCCCGAATTGCTGGATGTTTCATGTCTTGATGAGGTAGTTGATCGCGAGTTTCAGACGAGCCACGAACATGTTGACCTGGACCAAGGCGAAGCTAAGGACAGACTAAGGACAGTCGGTGACGTTTCCGGCTCTGCGAGGGATCAACTTCAATTTTTCAGTCATGTGGATACGCCAGTTGTTCGTGAGCTTGATAGGGATGAGCGCTTGATTTTTAGTGAAGACAACAGCGTTATCTCACACAAGCAACAGGACAACAGCACCACACCAGCAGTCGAGTGGCTTGTATTCGGAAATGACAGCATCGTTATCTCACACAAGCAACAGGACAACAGCACCACACCAGCAGTCGAGCGGCTTGTTTTTGAAAATGACAGCAGCGTTATCTCACACAAGCAACAGGACAACAGTACCACACCAGCAGTTGAGCGTCCTGTGCATGAGCATGGTAGGGAAACAGTTGTCTGTCGTGCTTGCTTGGAGGATTTCCCTGATGAGATTGAGACTGGCAGCTTGGATTGCTCAAAGAGGCGAAGTTTTCCTAGAGCAGGACAGATAGGAGACCGCCGCTATGGATCCGAGTGCCACGATGCAACGGAGCATTCAACAATTGGAAGGCGTGCGCCAGGGGGCGAGACGCAGGAGACTGATATTGTTGGAAGCCCATGCCGCGCAGCACGGCATAGAGCTGCCACAGACGCTCCGAGAGGAGCTCCAGGCGTCGTATGCCGAGGCGGAGTCCACTGGAGGGGACGAGATGGATCTGGACCTGGATTCGGCAAGGCTGGACCCTTCGACCTCATCTCCTTCGGTAGAGTACGTCATGGAAGAGACGGAAGCGGCGGAAGCACCGTCGTCCCACACCGGGGTGAGGGAATTCCAAGCGGATCCTTCGATGTCAGAGGCTCCAGCCAAGAGACCCGCTATGGTGCAGATGAAGCCGACGCCGAAGATCAAATCCAAGGAGAAAACCATGGCCGTGAGACCGGTGCGGAACTTGCTGCCGGACCATGTGGATCAATCGACCATGGGAGTCGATCCTCGGGAGCCCTCCGGCCCCCCGCCGGCATCGTCAGCGCCAGCACGGAGAGGAAAACGGCGCTGGGCGTCGGCAGGCTGGACGACGTGGGTTGCTCGTCGGTTCGGAGGAGCTTGGACGGCACAAGCTTCGGGAGCCAGCGACTCACCGGATACGCCGGTGACGCTGTTTTGTCTCCTGTGCCAGAAATATGTCACCGAAGCCCATTTGATGAGCGAGCCACACGAAGCCAACATGCAGGGGTTCACGCAGACCATCTCCAAGGAGGGCCTCCACGTGACGCAGAACCCGGTGGATTGGGCCACATGGGAGCAAGCGCTTGCCGAACCAGAGCAGCTGGTACTTGGAGCAACGGAAGGCAAGGCTCGGTCAGTGGTTGCGCTGGGACCGACCGGCATTTCGGGCGAGTTTCCTCAGCCGAACCCGAAGGAAACAACCGCGGCAGCACCGGCGAGCTCAGGGCCAGGACCATCGACAATGGTGGTGGAGGTGGACGAATCCGACGAGGATTGGGGAGAATGGAGGCCAACCACAGGGGTTCCTGCTCCAACGACCCCAGCACATCCGAAGGATCCCCCTATCTCCATGATGCAGCCGCCGGGGGAACCGGTCGGCCCGACAGCAGTGTACACGGAGCACCGCCGGGGCCCCGAGCCCAGGCATGCAAAGAGCGCTCTCCGAGTGACACCTCCATGGCGGGAATCACTTTCCAACCTGGGCTTTCGTGGTCCGTATCTGCAGCTGCATCTGAGCACACCAGGCCACACCTCAGAAGGGCTACAAGC